AGTACCTCCACTATGGGAACAGGATGAGAGAGCTGGGGCTCTTCATCCTGGAGAAGAGAAAACTCTGAGGTGACCTTGTAGTGGCCTTCCAGTACCTGAAGAGAACCTACAGGAAATCTGGGGAGGGACTTTTTGTATGGACATGTAGTGAGAGGATGAGGGGAAATGGTTTTAAACTGGAAGAGAGTAGATTCAGACTAGATATTAGGAAGAAATTATTTACTGTGAGGGTGGTTGCCCAGGCAGGTTGAGAATGACCCCTCCCTGGAGGTGCTCAAGGTCAGGCTGGATAGGGCTTTGAGCAGCCTGGTCTAGAGGAACTGTCCCTCCCTGTAACAGGGGGTTGGAACTAGGTGATCTTAAAGGTCCATTACAACCCAAACTATTCTTCACCTTCCGTTATTTCTCACTCACCAGCAATACCTGCAATTAGTGCAAGTGCAGTGGTATGATGCACCTTTTGCTTGTAGAATAACAAACTTAAACAGTCAAGACAAAAGTAGAAATTTCAAATACACAAACTCAAATGTTTTCATTGAACACAACTTAGATATGTATGTAAATAATGTAGATGCTCTGTCACTTTCTTTGATAACAGTACACTGAACTTCTCAGTTTCCTGACAGGACTGATTAAACCTGTTATTCAATAAACTTGCTATAACTGAGGAGGTACACTAAAAATTCTTGTTGATAGCACATCTAACAATACAGTCAGATAGTAACTTTTCCAATCAATTTGTCCTCCGGCTGCTTTAGACAACTTAAAACTAAAAGTCTCCCTGAAGTTCCTTACCTACAAAAGAGAATAAATGAAGTTCACTCAAGACCAAAGACATAAGGAAGATATAAAAAAGATTTTAAAAGTCCAGTAAAAGTCAGATCCCTGTTTTGTAACAAAGAAGAAGGAAAATACACAACATTACACATACAACAACACACAGACAAAAGCCAAAATATGCTTAAAACAAAATAAAATGAAATGATATGCTTAAGATAAAATAAAACAAAAAGGAGTAAGAAGAATTCTTTAATAGAGAAAGATAATATAAATTTCTAAGGAAAAATACATGAGTGTGTAAGAGAGGCTGTATAAACATTAGTAAGTATGTCCAAGAGAGTTTGTGCTTCTATTAATCATAATTCTAAAATGATAAAAAAGAAAACATATTCTGGAATGAAAACAGTCATCACTGTCACATCCTTCATCATTAAGAGGATTTATGTAGTTTTCTCTTAGCAATGTAAGCCCTGGGTTGAAGAGGAATGCTCTACATATTTTACTGTTCAAAGCCCTCAAATGGCAACAAAGAGACACTACAGTGCTAATCCACTTTTAAGAACTGTCAGGCATACTGGAAGAGAGAGTGTTACGGGGTGTTGCTTTCAAAACAGTTTAGAATATTAAGAAGCTGAAAGTTAAATAAGACAATGGATATCACCTCTAATACAGAACTGAAAACAGAAGTCTGATTTGTGTTTTCTAATGTTGGCAAGTGTCCACTCAAATAACTTGTTGCATTTTGCAAGAACTTTAAACACATGTGGTAGACAGCAAATCTCCACCTCTTACCTCAAATATAGGTCTACATTTGAAGCAAAACTTGGGCTTCTAAACCAGTGCTAATAGTACTGAGCTAAACTTATACAAACAGAATGCTTATTATGACCTTTGGGTATTTTAAATCAAGGTCCTAACCAGGAAAGCAGTAGTTACACTCTCTTATGTTTTCTAAAAAGAAAAATAAACTGTATGTTGGTTTTTTGTGTTTCAAATGGATAAAAATCCATGCACACTCAAGATATTGCTGCACTCATTTTTATCTCTTTTGCTTAAATAAAGAAGGACTTTATTTTCACCACTGATTTTATCAGTGTAAATCATTTGCATCTGCAGTACAAAATGTGCAAAGCAAATTCTGTTTTACTTTGAAGCAGTCAAGAAGTTGTCTCTGCTACTGGATACATAAATGTAATACCACTTACTATCCCTTTTTTTCCTTATTTACCTCCCAAAATTGCTAGTGTATCTGTAGAAAAAAGAACTGCAATGTTTATGTACATGAAATATTGAGAGGTGGTGAGACTTTACTGATCATCAGATGACTTCATTCTTGGCCCAGTACATCCATCAGGCCTTTTATTTCCTCTAAAGAGAAACTGGAGTTCTATACAATTTGCAAAGCCTTGTAAAATGTGCAGTAGTTCCATTTGCCAGCTGGCACGTTTTCAAGTGAATCTTGATTGAGCCATTACATTATACAAACAGGAAAAAACACTAAAGATTTTAACAAAAAGAAATCCACTATGAGAGCAAAAATCATACCGTGTTTTAGATTACTTGAATATTCACTAAAAAGAGATCTTTTGGTTTGTTTGATAGTGAACAGTGAAAGAATCAATAGGAAGACCTGTTTGTTTCAATGCTAAGTGGCGAAGCAAACAGCAGCAAATGATCACTGCAGTTTCTACATTGTTTGTGTAAATTTCAAAATAGTGAGGCATAAACATAAAATTGTCAATTTTGGCTGTAAGTAAAGAAAGGGACAGTAAATAGTAAAGTAAAACCTACCACAAAACTAGAGGCTTCACTTCTTTTTTCTCTATTGTTTTCCAAAACTACACTTACTGAACTACATGAGTTTTTAAGAAAACTGAGGGTGTCTTTATGGTCCTGTATCTTTAACTACTTTGCTGAGAAGAAATGCAACCACAGCCCAATAAAATTATGAATACTGTTTATCATTCCCTAGACTCCTCCTTGTAGTCTTCATTTAAATTTCTAAATTAACCTTACTGATTCTTAACTTCACAACATAGGAAGAATTATCTTGAAGATAACTCCTAGTTATATATGAAAACGTATCTCTTTAGTCATATGGAATAAGGCCTACGTGTTCAGAGCACTTATCAGGCCCTACAGAGCTGAAGAAAATGTTTACGCTAGAATAAAACTTGGTAGGAAAAAAGGTTGAAGAGAAATCTAAACACAGCACGAAGTCAGCAGAAGGCATAGAGTAAAACAATAAGACGTGAGGGAAGGTATAGTTTCATTACAAGGAAAGTACCAAACAAGTCTAGAAAGATCGAAATCGCAAACATACAAGAGCACTGATTTTACAACAAAAACAACAAAAAAACATAAATCCTCTCAAGCCACGCTGCAGACCAAACTTTCATGCTCATTAATTTAGTTAATACCATTTAGGTGTATACCTATATTGTAACTATCAGTGCACACTAATAAAATAGAGAACAAGAACTTGCAAAGAGATCTCACATAGCACAGTTCTCTGCATAAGACACCCAGCTGCAGACCCTCCTAGGTTTCATTTCAACCACTTTCTAGTGATCATTTTATAAGATACCAGCTGCAAAAGCGATAGACAGAATATGAAAAAGTTGAATGGATTTCTCACTTTTTAAAAAGCAGTTAATGGCTTCAACATTTGATTTTTTGAAATCTGAGTCTTTAATGTATGCAACATTTTATGCCTATAAGGAACAGTTGTGTGAACTAAAGAGAGAACCCTGGAAAAAATTCATCACTGCCCTGTGATCTCCTTGATCTAGGCCCAATTTCCTTGCATTTGAATCATTAAATTCCACTCCTGGCAGTTTAAAACTTCACTGAAGTCAAGACAAGTTCCATTAGATAAGAGATAATAGATTCTCCTGTCTGAGTTTGTTTGAAAAGCACATGTAACTGATTGTAAAATAACTACTGTTAAAAGCAGGGTATGCTGTGATTATTTGGAAAAAAAGCATCTCATAAACAAAAAATAAATTTGTCCTTTTAATTCCAAAATACTCTGGACTTCCAGCTCAGATGTTGTTGGCTTTATTCCACAATGTACTGAAAAAACATTGGTGAAAAAATTCAACCAGGACCCCATGAACAAAGATTGGATTTTTTCCACATGGAATAAGTATTGGTATCATTTTCCATATGGCTTTGCTTACTTTCAGTTCTAAATATGAGAACATTGTAAACGGAAACAGGCACAGAAAAGTTATCAAATCCTGTTAGAGACAAAACCTGGATGCAAATGCAACATCATAAGGGAAGAAGGCTTGGACTTAAATTGAAATTCCAAAGCAGTTGATAAACTTAAAATAAATCATTGCGTTTTTATCAAAATTTGAGTTCTGCTTTTCAAGTTTGCTTTTTGGGGGCTGTTGGTTGATTGTTTTGGTTTTGTTTTTTTTTCTCCTCAGCCTGTCCGCATAAAATGCATTTTGACAGCCCTGATGTGTGAAGCATGGGCAAATGACTGATTTTTAACAGGCAGCTTCCCACTGCCAACCAAACAAGAACATCTATTTCCCTGAAATCCAGCCAAGCAGCTGTATTTCAGAGAGGTTCCATTTCACTCCTAGTTTGGAAACAAAGAAAACTGTCTTATTATCTATTATTTGCATTTGCCTAAATTAACAGACCTCTGCTTCTCAGGTGCAACATGCCAGTGGAATATTTTAAGCTAGAAATGTGCAAAAAATCATGTTACATCAAAGTAACAGGAAAAATGAGTTCTGGTTTCAACGTGCTTGCCAACTGACAGTTCGTGCCTTCTGCAACCTATAACAATTTATAGACTGACCAGAAAGCCACCTGCTGCTCAGGACATATGAATTCGGTAGATTACTCATAGTAAGGATTCTGTTCTGATAGATACCCAGTGACCTCAGTAGCAAGTAAAATGCCTCCAATTTTACTGCACCACTCTGTATTTATAACACTGTTTTTGCTTCAATAGGAGCATCCTCCATTTCTACTGATAATTCTTGAGAATTGTTTTAGTCATATATAAAAAAGCCATAAGAGGACAGCTTTCCTTACAGTTTGAGTTTCCTCCTTCATCCATCTTCTGTAATTACAAATGACACCGAGGAACAACACAAAGGCCAGATGTCTCTGCACTCAGCTTGTTAGACATTGTATCAGCACTGTATCGACTGTATCGAAAATATTACTGAAACTATATAATCAAATGAACTTACCAGTAGAGAAAACAAGAACAGTGTTATTCCAAAGACCATATCTTTTCAGAGCATCAGTAAGATTTCCTACAGCTTCATCCAAAAGAGACACCATTCCTGCATAATGGCGCCTCTTTTCATCTTTAATGGAGGAATATGGTTTCATGTACTCTTCAGAAACCTCAAGGGGTTCATGGACAGACTGAAAAGCAAGGTAGAGAAAGAGGGGCTGGGGTGGAAGGGAGAGAATGTGAATTAGTTTAACACAAAGCACTACATGCAAAAAAAAATGCTTTAATTCATTAACATGCACAGGAACTTATTCTAGACTTCTAATTGTAGTGTTTGGTAAAATCACAGAAAACACTATTCTTGGAGCTACTGAAATAACCTTGAAAGACAATACAGCTTAGTTATAGCCAGCACAGGTTCACAAGAGGATGGACATGTGTAACTCATTTAATTTCCTTTTATGACAAGGTTATCAATCTTTTTGGCCAGTGGAAGTCAGTAGACCTGGTCATTCTGGAGTTCAGCAAAGCTTTCAATACTGTTTCTCACAGTACCCTTCTGGACAAAATGTCCAGCATGCAGCCAGCCAAAAACAGAATATGATGGATGAACAATGGCTGATGGGTCACACTCGAGGATTGCAGTAAGTGAGGTTACATCAGGCTAGCAGCCCGTCACTAAGGGGATGCTGCAGAGCTCCATTTTAGGGGCCAGTTCTCTTCAGTGTTTTTATAAATGATTTGAATGCAGGATTTGAATTCATGCTAAGTAAATTAAGAGGACCTTTGGTAAAAGACCTATCTAAAGGCGTAAGAAAACATCATCTGTACCTTCTCTTCATAACACAGTTATGAGTTTTTTCTCTGAAAATTCTTCCACTAAGCTTTCTACTCTCTTTTTAGGAGAGCAACACGCTAGAACATTTTTATAAATTCACTGCTCCTATTATTAAAAATAAAATGGAGAAGGCTAGTAGGCTAGGGTCGTGCAAACCAAATTCATTTGGACAGGGAGAAAAGATGAGTTTTATCAGTGCTACTTCTCACATTTAGCATTTAGTTCTCTGTGTAACCTTCTAAAAAGCCTAGATAAACCTCTGCATTAATATATATATATAATTTTTTTTAAATAAACATTCTTTAGTGCGAGTAAGAACTGCTGACTGTACCTTCTCAGTTTTGTGATTGGCTATAAGATCTACAGCTCTTTCTGTAAATAAATTCGTGGAGTACATGTTTTTAAACCCAGTTGCGACTTCTTCTCCATCACGGAAGTCCAGAGCACAGCGTGTTACATTTTTTGCTTTGATGAGCACACAGTGATCATGAGAATAATAATCCTCACTCCCCAGAAGATAACCTAGAAAGGATGACAAATGAAGAGGCCCATATAACATCACAGAAGCAGACACATGGGAAAAAGAGCCAAATAAAAATGTCAAAACTTTAGAGCCTTAGGGATGAGAAACTCATCCAACTTTTAATAATCTGCAGTGACAGCCCGTGATAGGACTAAATAGCTCAACACTTAACAGACAGACTTTTCATCACTACTACAGACAGTAATTTCACTGCACAGAAAATCGTCTGAATGCAGTTCAGTAACATTTATGTTCAAACCTTTGATACATGTTATAAAACAATACACTGTTAGTGAAATAAGTGACTTATCCAAGTAATAGCATGGATTTATATCTGGAACAACACTTTTTCATGTAAGACTTTTCTCTCTATTACAAAGTTTGGACTACTTTATCTTAGCACTTGTTTTTTTGTAGGCTTTTTGTTTGTTTGTTTGCCTTTTCGGTTGTTATTTGGTGATTTTTTTTTCTTAAATTTATTTAAAAAAACAAACAAAAATGAAGTGTTTCTTCAACTATAAAGACATTTTTTATCCACTGCTGCCCCTAACTGGTGAAAAGAGGATATTACAATAACCAAAAGAAAAAAATCGAGAGGTACAAATTTGCTCCCACCAAGAACTATACTGTTAAGCACTGAGTGCCTTACTTTCTATAGATCAGAAACAAAACTCTTTAAAATCATTCAAATCTTATAATTATTGCTTCTAGAATTAGATTTCATATGTATATTTCAATATCCTAGGAAAAAAAAAAAAGGCCGAATCTGCAAAATTATATTCTGAAATTCTGCAAAACCAAACTAAAGCTGAGGATAAAACTTCAAAATGGAAGAACTGTACTTGAATCTTATTCAGCAGCTTCAAGTATTATTAGTCATGCAAAAAAGATAAGTAGAGAAAGAAGAAAGAGATATCAAAGTACAAAACACTCCCTACATTTTTAGGTCAAAAAAGGGCTTTTCTTCTAAAGCATAAATAGTAATTTTGTGTGCCTCCCTCAATTTATTCAAACTAAAAATTTCATTTTTCTATTTTGAGTGTCCACTGGGGGAGACACTATCAAGACTCTTGCTGCAGAATGAAAAGCCTCTAACTGCAATCAAAACCTAGTGGAATTAAATGAACATAGTTCGGTATCAAACCACCACATTCTCTGAAAAAGAATTCCCTTAGTGTCATGCTGGGCACTCAGTGAGCATACTTAGAGGCAACACTGGCCCAGTATTAAATCCTGCTCATTCCTATGGTGAGATTTCACAATGAGTGTAAGCCTATATCTACATCTGTGCTGTCAAAAAGAACACAAGCTCATAGAAAAGATGGGAGGAGAAGGCCAACATGGGAAAAGGCATAAACATTTAAGCAATGATCCATCATACTGTGATCTCTATTTATTAGCTTCATTCAGTTGTGAAGCCATAGTCTCAAACTCTCCTGAGAGTCAAGAGACAAAACTGTTCTGTGTGAAGAGCACGGACTTCAGAAAGCATAGATGAAGTTTATCTTAATTTCCCAACTGTAAAACTGGGCAGTAGCAATTAATAGTGACAAAGTTATTTTCAAGATGATGTGATGTAATGGATTTTTCCACTCAATGAAAGTTTTTAAAATCCAACCTAGTGGATGTTAACAACTTTGTATTCAGTCTCAGGTGACATGGGGTGCATTAGTGATAGCCCAATCCAAATAATACTAAGAATATTTGTGCAAAGGTATGGAACGTCCTGTCAATACTTGGAAAAACTTTCTGAGAGGAAAAATATGTAGTACATAGTTACAAATTGCTTTGTAACATAAACATATTTGGACAATCCAATTCTGGCATTTTGCTTGTTTGTTTTTTTAAATCTAGGTGGCTGACTTCCTATCTTTAAAATTCCTGTAACATTTTGACTGTCATTTCATAAACGTTCTTGCACTACATTCCTTTCCAGAGGAAATGGAAAATCAGTGATATTCTATTCACAAAGCACAAAGTATGGTATGATGCCTACTTATTTCCCTTTTAAATGTATCAGCTTACTGTAAATTTAATATTATTTTCAGAACAAAATATGTCTATTGTTTATGGCCCCCCGCCGGGATTTTGGCCGGGATGGTGGGGTGAGGGACAGGTCTAGAAAATGAAACTAGTCACTACACCTAAAGTCTTCTAACCATCACATTTAAATGCAGTTCTTTAAAAATAAACACTTCCTTTAGAGGGACTCAATAATTATGGCATTTTCTTCAATAAATAGTGAGGTTTGGACATACATTTAATACACCAGTGCATTTTAAACAGTTACACTTTGCAAATAAGCTTACACAAACATTCATTTACTTATGCATTAACAGTAAATCTGTCCTTAGAAGAATCAAACATTCTTGCATCATTTTTAACACCACATTTACTGCACAGATTAAATCTACCCATTACCAAAGTAAGTATCAAATCCTCTGCGGGTTGGAAGGCATTCCTTCCTGTACATCCCTAAATGCCACTTCCCCACCATGTGAGTAACATATCCTGCATCTTTAAGCAGCTCTGGGAGGAGTTTCTCATCAAGTGGTAGACAGCTGGGCTGGCACGGCCAAATTATTTGGTGTTGTAAACCTGTGTGGATCTAGCAAGGAAAGGAAAGAAGAAAGATTACTTACAGTGCAATGACACATGTATGTAGGCTGTATATCAGGCCCCAAAATAATAAATACTATGAAGCAGGCTAGCATCAGTTTTTATGGCCTGTTTTGAGGGAGTTCAGGAACCCAAAGATGGAGGATATGGAGGAAGACAATGAAATAGCATTGTTGGTGTTAAGAAGAGGACCTTCTCAAGTGGAAATCAAGTACAAAAATGTAATTAAAAAAAAAAAAAAAAAAAAAAGCGCCTTTTGGGCTTCCACTGGAAAACCTATCAATTAACAACTACCCAACTACCACTACAGTCTTTCTGTTAGACCTCTAACTATCCATGTTTTTAAACTTAACAAGTGGTGAATTGTGTATCTCTTCACAAAAGTATGACCAGTAATGAAGTAATGATAGTCTGATTAGTACATCATGTTCAAGGCAAGAAACCTCTTCCATGACTACATACTATAAGCTAAATTTTGTTAATTCCCTTATCTTTGACAACATAGACAGTGGGATCAAGTTTACCTTCAGCCAGTTTGCTGATGACATCAAACTGAATGTTGCAGGTGAAATGAGGAAGGGATGCCATACAGATTGACCTGGACAAGCTTGAACAGTGGACCCATGAGAACCTAATGAGTTTCCATTGTGCCAAGCACAAGGCATTGCTCTTGGGTTGAGGAAATCCTAGATATGTATACAGACTGAGAGAAAAACTCATTGGGAGCAGTCCTGCAGAGAAGGACTTGGGGGCTCTGGTGCACAAAAAGCTGGACATGAGCCAGCAGTGTTCACTTGCAGCCCAGATGTCCAATAATACCCTGAGCTGCATTAAAAGAGAGTTGGCCAACAGGGAGAGAAAGGTGATCTTTTACTCTGCCCTCATCAGGCCCCATCTGAAATAAATGGGTCCAGATCTTGAGCCCCTAGTAGAGAAGTGACACAGAGCTGTTGGAGCAGGTCTAGAAGAGGGCCACAAAGATGATCAGAGGGCTGGAGCACCTTTCCATGAGGAAAGGTTGAGGGAGTTGGGCTCATTTAGCTTGGAGAAGAAAATGCTCTACGGAGACCTCACTGCAGCCTTCCAGTACCCTAGAGAAGCAGATAAACAGGAGCTGGACCGACTTTTTACACAGACCAACAGCGACAGGACAGGTGGCTTTAAACTAGAAAAGTAGAAGTTGTATTAGATGTTATGGAGAAATTTTTCATGGAGAGGGTGGTAGTTGATGGAATGGACTGCCCAAAAAAGCCATGGCTGCCCCATCCCTGGAGTTGTCCAAGGCCAGGCTGGTGGGGCATTGGGGAGCCTGATCTAGTGGGTTTCATCTCTGTCCACAGCAAGTGGGTTGGAACTGGGTGGACTTTAAGGTCCCTTCCAAATCAAGCTATTCTGTGATTTCCCACCAAAAACCAAACCAAACCAAACCAAACCATAAAAAAACTTAAACCTAGGATAGAAAACACATTATGCATGCTTCTTTCTGGCTCAGACTCTGAGACAACACCATACCCAACCATAACACTCCAAATTCTTACTATTTTTGTGATTGGTTAAGAGAGGACTTGCAGAATCTTGTGAAGGCCCCACAACAAAATCCTACACTGTAACACCCTTCTGAAAAGTTGCATAACAAACACATGTGCACAAGCTGTGGAGAAATCAAGAGTTAGCTGCCTTGCTTAAGGAGGTCTTGGGTCCCCCGTCCAACCACGAACATGATCATCATGCAGAGGGAGAAGCACAGCTGGTACAGCATGCACGTGGCACATGATACCAGACACATTCTGCCTGGCAACAGCTCCTCGCCCAACTGGAAGAGGCCATCATATGGCATAAGAGGCACTGCCAACCCGAAAGCCAGTGGCATATGCCCCACCACATCCACCACCAGTCCAGAAGAACAAGGAGCAGAACAGACTCAAGGACATCATGGGATCTGCAGTAGTGGCTTGCTTTTCTTTCCTTTCCTCTTTTTTTTTTTTTTTTCCTCTCTCTCCTTTTCTTGTCTTTTTCCTCTCTTGCTTGCCTGTCTTTTAATAAATAAAGGCACATTCTTGTTTGATCAACACACTATTTTGAGTGTTAATTTGGATAGGTTGGGATCAACATAATGAACCATAAGCCTCTCTGGCTTGCAACACACACACATACAACTTTAAATATCTTATTTATATTAATAGTAATAGCCACTGTCAAAGCACAAAATCAAGACTGAATTCCAAGTATTTCCAATTTCTACTTTTAAGATCGGAAACAGTGATTTCCCACTGACGCTGACCCATATCTAAATAAGCATATTAAGAATAAAAATGGGCTCCAGAAATGGTCAATATGATGAAAATGGGAAATTTACAATGAAAAATATAGAGTTGATTAAAAAAAAGAAGAAGAAGAAGAAGAAGAAGAAGAAGAAGAATATATTACATCTTCTTATGCCTTATTACTCACTTTTAATGTTTGGAAATACAGCAAGTGTTGCTTGCAAAGGGTAAGTCCCATCTAGTGCAGTTGCTCTGAGACAAGAGACAACATCCAGAATGACAAAGAGACATTTATTTTCATTCTGAATGGTTTCCCCTGGTAAATCACTATGATTAACATTAGAGGACTTCTTTAGAGAAGGAAGATGTTCTGCATAAGCACTTAACCCTCTATCACTTCCTCCATTTTGACCTTCCCAAATTCTTCTTTCTCCTGTCTTTGCCAAAGTTGCAATAAAAAATAAGAGGAAAAGGGAAAAAAAAAAAAGTAAAAAAAAAAGTACAGTAGAGCATGAAGACCAACTCTTACACTCATGCAACAGAAAAAAACCAAAAGTAGATCATGATCATACTACAGGGAAGTGAGACAGCCAGGTTAAGGCTAAATCAAAGGACACACAAATGTAGTGCCGAGGACATCACATGAAGGAGGATGTGTAGGTAAGAAAGCATTTAAACACTGAGTTAGAAAAATAAATTACACACACAATTACAGAATTGCAGGGGTTGGAAGCGACTTCTGCAGATCATGGAATCTGACCTGCTGCTAAAGCAGGTTCCCTAGGGTAGGTGGCACAGGAAAGCGTCCAGGTGTGTTCTGATTATCTCCAAAGGAGATTCACAACCAATCTGGGCAGCAGGTTCCAGTGCTCTGTCACCCTCAAGTAAAGTTTTCCTCTCATTCGCATGGAACTTCCTGTGTTTCAGTTTGTGCCCCTTGTCCTGTCTGTGGGCATCATGAAAAAGAGCCTGACCCCATATTCTCGACTGTCAGACTTTAGATATTTACAAGCATTGATAAGATCCCTTCTCAGACTGCCTTCTGCAGAACAGAAGGCAGAACAGTCCCACATCTCTCAGCCTTCCTTCATCCTGCCCCAGGCCCTTCATCATCACTGCGGCACTCGCTGGCCTGTGTAAAAGTTCCTTCCCGTCTTCACCTGGTAGACCAGAGCTGGGTACAGACCTCACGAACGAAGCACATGACGCTGATGCGGCTGGATGTCGAACCACATGCCCCCCCAGTTCTGCAGTTCATAGCAAGACAGAGGTCTGCGACAGGGACCTTTTTCACCACACGCTGCCACCACTTCGGATTTTCCAAAGCACGGCTTTCTCACCCCGTTTGGTTTTACAATCAAAAAGCGAAACGGTGACGGGTTTGTTTCCACCAAGCGACACGAATAAGCCCCGCTTCCACGCTTGCAGGCTGCTCGCGTTACAAACAGCGGCGCACCAGACATCCCCGCCGCTCCCTACCTGGTAGCGGCCGCTGAGCAGCTGGCTGCGGGACGGCGTGCACAGCGGCTGCGTGTAGTAGCGCTCCAGCCGCACACCGCCCGCCCCCAGCGCGTCCAGCCGCGGCGTCCGGATGGCCGAGCCATGCCAGCCCACGTCGCCCCAGCCCAGGTCGTCGGCCAGCACCAGCACCAGGTGCGGGGGGGACCGCGCCGCCGCCGGCCGCGGCAGGCACCACAGCACGCACCACAGCACGCACAACCGCTCCATCCCCGGCCGGCAACCAGGAACTGAGCCGCCGGCGAGCCGCCCCGTTCGTACCCGGGGCCCGCCTCGGGGATGGGCCACGGCCGGGGGTGGGAGCGCCCGCTACGGGGAGCGCTGTGCGGGCGGGGGGGTTCTGTCGCTTCTGCCTGCGGACGCCAGGCCGAGGCAGGTGACTGGGTTCTCCCAACACGGTGTGCCGTGCGAGTTACGAAGGTTGGGCCCCGCCACCCCGTGCGGCAGCCCTGGGGGTGACGGTGCCTGAGCCGGGGGTCGGCTGGCTGTGTGCGATGGCAAGCGCCAGCAGGACAAAGTGCGCGGCCTGCATGCAGTCCTGCTCTGCTGCCGCTGGCATCCCTTCCCCTGCCCATTCCTGCTCCGAAGCCGTGAGTGGCAATGGGTTTTGTGCTTCGTTTGGCTCATGTGGCCGAGAGGCCTGGTCCTGGCTCTGCTTCTGAAATTTCCCTTGTGGCAGTTACAGTGTAGGAAGGAAGTGAAGCAACCCAGAAGCAGAACTAACAGCTGTGTCAGCAGAGCTGTTTCTTCAAACAGCAATCTTCTAAGGCAATATTGTAAATGACCATTAGCCTAACACTCAGACTGGGAAAGAACAGCAGGAGCTGTCAGCTGAATTTTGTACATCCATGGTCCACAAAAATATCTCTGTATTGAGTTAAAAAGCAGCCATATGTTTCATATTTACCTGGAATGGTACGTACGTACATTCCCGAAATTATGCAGCCGTTTGGTTTCTGTCAGTTTATAAAAGGCCAATGAGTACACCAAACTCCTATCTACTTTCTTTTTTCTTCATAAATCTCTGTGGAAAGCAGGTTCCTGTTCCTCTGAATGAAGTCTAGTGGATAAGCCTATGAAATTAGCAGATATTATAGAAATCCCAAAGGATTCCCTGCTAACTTGAAAACAACTGCACTGACAGGTGTGCTTTTCTACAATGATCAATAATAAACTGATTTATATTCCAGAGAGAAGTTCATTTAGCCTTAATTTTTTAACTCTTAAACATACACAGTATCATCTCAGTGATTCCCAGATGTATTTTTCAGACCATTAGTAGTTCTGATACCCGTCTAAACAAATGATACTCTTTTCCCAGCTTCTAGGTATTTCTCCAGACTTTCTGATGGAAGCAGTGGAATGTGTCACAGAGGCATTCCAAAGAAAATGATAGAAGGAGAGACTGGAACTTCAATCAGTACACAAGAGATGAAAATCCATAGTGAAAGAAAGCAGAGAAGCAGGTAAGGACGGTACTAATAAGAAGATTATGACAGGTAATGCAAAGTGCCCAGGAAGTCCAAGCAAGAAGAATCTGATATGAAGAAACAGAAAGAAAGCAGAATATGAGAGGAAAGAAATGCATTAAAAGAAAAATATGATTTTGCTGTTAATTTTTTCTCTCATAAAAGATAAATAAATGAGTATCATTAAGGTAGCTTGACATTGGTTCTGTTATACCTGGATCTGTAAGTTCCATTTCTTTACAGTAATTATTGCTGTCTTTATATAATTTTATTCTGCATATCATACCATGTTTATTTTTTCCCTGGGTGAATTTCTGGAACTGAACTCTGATGTATGGAAGGTTCTGGAAGAGGGGTGTCTGTATATTTTGTTCACCTCAGCTTTAGGACTAGGGTGAATAGTAAGGAAATTGCAGAATTAAGATAATCAATTTTTTTGTTGCTGTTGGAAAGAAGCTTATTAGCCCCAATTCAAAATATGACACTGATACTGGAACAAGAAGCAGTAAGACTTTCCTAGAGTAACTTTTCCCTGAAGTAAATTCCAGGATTCCTGACAAAGCTGATATGTGACTATGAGTTATATTTCATTCGTTCAGATTTTATTCATACTGTTTCTAAGTCTGGAATGTCTAACTTGCCTTATTTTTAGTCCAGATCCTATTAGTAGTCACAGTTGTCTCACAAAAAAACCCTGTGGTTTTTGCTAATTCATATGTCTCCATTCTAGTTAAAATCCCATTCAAATGTCATCACATTCTTACGGAAATTATTCTTGATCATTCAAAATAACTTTGAAAACCCACAGTGTTTGTGAAACAGAGATATGTTTTCAAAGGTAAAATGTTGTTCAAGCTGAATTCATCTCCCCTTGTAGAGAGTTGTCAAGATTTTTTTTCTGTTGTCCTGCTAAACCAGGATGATATTTAAACTGGTTGCCTGATCTGCCAGAGCTGAAGTATTTTAAACTACCTGAAACACACACAGCAGGTACTGTGCAGTCACAGTCTGAACACTGCTATCTTTTTTTTTTTCCTCCTGTTTTTCTTGGTGCTAAGCTTATTACTATCTTGAGAACTAGGACCATGTGCACCTAATGAAGTTCAACAAAACAAAGTGCAAGATGTGTACAGACTGAGAGAACTCGCTGAGCGCAGTCCTGCTAAGAAAGACTTGAAGATCCTGACTGATAAAAACCGTATGAAATAATTCTGCTGCAAGAGTGCCCTTGCAGCCCGGAAGGCTGGGTTGCATCAAAACAGGGTGGCCAGCAGGGAGAGAGAGGGGATTGTTCCTCTTTCCTCTGCCCTTGTGAGACCCCACCTTCATTACTGCATCCTGGCCTGGGCCCCCAGCGTAAGAATCAGAGTCACAGAATTGTAGGGGTCGAAAGGGACCTCTAGAAATCATTGAGTGTAACACCAAAGAAAGATATGGCACTGTTGGAGGGGATCCAGATGAAGGCCACAAAGGTGATTGAAGGGCTGGAGCACCTCTCCTATGAAGGACGGCAGCAGGAGCTGGGCTTGTTCAACCCAGAGAGGGTTTTGGGGAGACTTCACTACAGCTTTCCAGTAATTAAAGGAAGCTTATAAGCAGGAGAGAAACAGGTCTTTTACATCGAGATTTAGATTAGATATTAGGAGGAAATTATCTACTCACAAGTTAGTGAGACACTGGCACAAGCTGCCCAGAGAAGCTGTGGGTGGATCCATAGAGACGTTTAAAGCCAAGGTTGGATGTGGCCCTGGGCCCTGATCTAATGGCAATCCCTCCCATGGCAGGGGATTGGAAATGAATCTTCCAACACAAGCCACTCTATGATTGTTACTATTTTAGTAATTTGGATTCCCAAACAGGCAATATAATATATGTCAGAGAGTATTCTCTTGAATCAAAGAAAAAATCCTGGAAATGACCTGTGTTCAAGTCCCCTTAATCAATTCGTTTTTCCCTGCAAGCCTTGATCTTTGGAGATGGGTGAGCATTCTTTTCTTGTTTGTCCCTTTGGCCACTTCACCCTTGTATCACCTTTCTACATGCTAATCTTTCCGAATGTAACAGAGCAGTAATAAAGCAGCTAGGCAAACTAGAAAGCCCCGCCAGACAGCACTTACAACACTTAGACATGTTTGCTTAAAACTACTTGAGATACCTCTACTGTGGATTACACTGTAAAATAGAAAGCAAGGTCATTCTTTAGACAGAAAGGAGTGCAGCAGTCTCTCAGACACACTTTTTGTCTTATTTGCGGCTAGTGATGATCATGGTTTTACAGGATGATTTTAGTCTTACAAGTCAGCAGCAGTAAAGAGACTTAATTTTGTTTTGCTTTGTCTATATGCAGCATTCTGCAATTTTTGTCTGCTTCCCTGTATCTTGAAACTAAATTAAATTTAACTGGACAAGGCTCAAGCTTGGTGAGACCCGAGAACAATAGCTGTTCCTGAGCAGCCCACATCAGAATTTGGGTTTCTTCTCTAGTCAAGATTTGAAACTGAAAATTAGTGTAAGTAATTTACATGACAGTTAATCTAAATTAAAGCACCTTCTTGAATGCCTTACTGAATAAAGATAAAATTTTTCAGCAGTCCAGTGTTATGACTATCTATAAAATGAGACAATATAATGTATATGAGGAGAAGTTAGTTGCTGGGAGGTTACAGCTGGAAATGTGCTATAAGTCCATGAGAAGTAGAGTTTCTGAGCTCAGTTTGGAATTGAAGGAACTGTATCTGTGATTGATCATCTTTTGCTCAGGTTACAGAAAGTCTGCACCTTCTGCCATCAGACTGATGTGGTTGACCTGTTAACGAATAGCACATTTTTTCTTCCAAACTGGAAAGAGTTACAAGCCTGATTTTTAACTTCCAGTTAGAAATGTGGATGGAATAAGTGAAGCAGCATTCTGTATAACAGAGCTACTTAGGAGAATACATGTGACAGCCTGCCTCAGAATTACTGTTATTGTACAATCCCAGGCATCAAGTCTGGTGAATCTGCATATTCACTGTTTGCATATTAAAATTCAAAACTATGTTCCTAAGAATTGTTCTCTCTTCCTTCACATTTTAAATAGAACACTATGACACTGTGCTGTATTTTAGCTTTCTTAATTTTTCACAGAAACACTGTGGCGAAATGCCTTTTTAAAAACAATGTCGCCTTTACAAAAAGTATCACCTTTGATAGGTTCAACGAAGCAGAATCACTTACAAAAGCAAAATAGAAGATTATTTCAGAATGGATTTTTCACCCAAGGCAGTACCACATGCAAACTTCCAAATCTTTTCTCTTGATCTTCTTTGATAAAAAAAAATTTGGAACAGCACAATGTAATGTCAGTGTGGAATAAATCTTTTAATAGGTGTAAATGTTCACTGCTCAAACTGTGTTTCTCCTTGTATATTCTATTTATACATTTCCTTCTTTGAGAAAGATTTAGATAAAGTAATTGGGGAAAAAAAATCATTTTGAGTATTATTTATAGTCATATGAACTTCAAAAATGTTTGTGTGTAGCCTAAAAATGAGTGCTAGAGATCATGTAACATTTCAATTCAAAATAACTGATGAGCATATTATGGAATTCAGAAATGTGTTTTAATAATTCAGTGTATTCCCACTATTTACATTATCCCAATCCTACTTATTTGGCTTATCAAATATAAGAACCTCATCTCCTGTGGATTACAATTTTTTCACTGTCAGTACTTCTGTCTAACAACATATGGTTCTAATTACTCCTTAGTCTACAATTAACAGGAAAAGGAGGAACAGAAGATCTTCAGTGGCATGCCTGGCTACACATTCAGACCAGTGAGTGCTTGAGACAGTATTTTAACTTCCTTTCAGAGACTGAGCAATAACATGTACATGTTATCTACCAGCTAATCTGTATGAAATAATGATGAACATTTCCTGTAACTGTTGCATTAAGAAGATTTTGATCATTTCTGCCAGAGTGATACATTGAGGGGGGGAGAAAAAAAAAGCAATTCAGTTTGCCTTTAATACTGTCTTTATTACTTTGTAATGATTTATGGGATAGATTTCCATTCTTTAGAGAGCATTTCTGTGCAGAACAGTGATATTATTTTATTGATAAGTTTGTTAACTCATAACCGGTTATAAGGATAAGCTACTTTACCCCAAGGACAGGCAAAGGAGGAACTATGAGTTTCCAGTTGAAGTAAGAATTTGCTATTAGTCAATACTAAGAGCAACTTCTTCCTCTATCTGAATTCAGATCTGCCAGCCAGCATCTGAGCAAGCTGAATCAAACCCAGCCACTTTCTGCTCTCAGCTGTTACTGAGAATAGTGGAAACATACTGGTCCATCAGCTGTGCTCGGATCTCTGAAATGAACAGCGCATACAAGGAAGCAAGGGGGCAATGCCATCAAATTTCTCAGTGAAGAATGGCAATGAGATTCTTACGTTCAGTAATTAAGAAACCTGAGTAGTTTAATTCTCTTAATTGCATGATATAAAAAGGACTGCACAATATACTGCACCATTTCCTGTGTTCTCATCTGTGTTTATATTTTGGGACTTTGACCCTTTCTCTGAAGGCGTGTTCTTGTTGGCTCAGTCAGCACCAGTGGCTCTTGTATAATAGTTGCTGAATAATTTTTTCCTAGAAGTTCAACTTCCAACTTCTGTCCAACTTTGCTGAGCTCTATGGGAACATATGCAAAAGCCAGACTCTGCTTAGCACTATAGCTGAAACTTCCAGATGTGGTATTGCCAATAACCTGGGGGAAAAAAAAAATCCTTAATGCATATATTCAACATCCATGGAGTTTGTTTGTTGGTTGGATTTTTGTTTGTTTGTTTTTTAAGATATACACCTCAGATACTAATTTTTGATTGTATATTTCATATGCGAAGTAAATTTCAAGTGCATCGTGCTGTTCATAACATTATCTGTGAATGGCATCACCTTAAGCTGGTAACTTTTTGCTCCCTGAAAAAGAGTTTATTCCTGTTGCTTTCAGTTCAGTTTTTACCAGGAACAAACACTACACACACACGTAGATACACAATTTTTATATGTATATATATAATTGATACACAATGATTTAATTGCTACTAAGTATTTCAATACATAATCTGAGCTGAAGTGTGAATGCCTAAGCTTCACTGTTGTTTATTTTTCTTTTAAGCAAGTAACAGAAATTATCTTAGAACAATTATGAACTTGCAAAATGACTTAGTGGTTAATTCAATAAATGGATGACTATACTTCAGTCTTTTCTATTCCTGTTTCTGTGACAGTACTCCATACATAAACAATGCTGCTTCCTACCTGAAGGTTAGAAAATGGCGTCGTGGCTTACAATTCTTCTGTGCCAGCAGAACAAAGATATTATATTCACACTTGAAACATGAAGTTAGGTACTGTTTGTGAATTAACTTTAGCTTCTTGTAACATGATTTATTGTCATTACCTTGCCATTATGCCACACACTTTCATTTCCCTCAGGATCAACATCATCTGTTTCCAAGGTGAGATATACTAGTCGTCGTTTGAGTCCCTTTTCTTTAATTTGCTTCAGTGTTTTCTTTCCTGTAAAGTCTGCTGGCTGAGAAAATAGAAGATAATATGATATTCAGGTTGCTCAGGTTCTACAAGAAGCGATAAAAACATTTATATTTTTTTATTGGTTTTCCTAGCACTTAAGTATTCTGTATGAAATACAGATTAAATCAGTTTGTTGACAGACATTATACTTTGTATCTCAATGTTTTTATATTTGTACATTTCATCTTGGTAATTTTATTCAGCATATTAATTTTACTAGATCCCAGTCTTTCAGTGTCTGTAATTCCAACATATGTGTAGGAATGCATATAGCAAGCTGGATGTTACAGGACCATCTGCCCGGTTAAAACTGTGAGTCAGACAGTTAAGTTTCATTCCAGTTTCAATTTAAAAAAATGGTAATACGAATCCCTAAAGTTCTGGCCTCCCTCTGTAGACACACATCCTTTTTGATGGCATCAGCAACTACTACTGTTACCTGTTAAAATTCCATTTTGATGCCTCCATGCCAGGGTGCAAATCTGGCAGATTACTCCATATTCTTGTTTTAACTTACATATGAGTGAAAAACTCATATCTACCATTTTAAGAGATAACAAAGCATGTTAGCTACAGAATAATGGTTCCACTTGGAGTTTCCTTTTTCAGCTTGCCTCGTAAAATACATGCAGATCTTCACCTTTTTAGAAGCAGACTGCATAAATGCATGGCAAGTACTGAGGGAGCTATCTGTAAATCTCTGAATAATAAAGGATATGTAAGTATATATTGTATGCAGCTATGTTGAGCTGGCTGAGATAGCTTGATTCCATGGCCAGGATCGCTGATAACAGCTTATTTTGCCTACAATTAGCTGTAACCCTGACTTTTCTCACACAACTGTTTAAGTCTTAGATGTAAATCAGACAGCTTCCTTGCTTGATTAGCTGGGAATTAATTGGAAAGACAAGCCATAGAAAGAGCTGTTAGAGACTTCATGCTGCTGGACAGAATGTCTCAAGTGTCAAGAGGGCACTTTTCAACACTGCTGATAGCCTGGCTGAAATGTGTCTACATCAATGTACATAGCATGGGAAACAAGCAAGAGTTGGAAGCCACAGCCTAATTAGAAAACTATGACCTAATTGCAATCACAGAAAGATGGTGGGATGATTCACTTCCCACAGTGCACAGAGGGCTGGAAACTTTTCAGAAGAGAGAGGCAGGGAAGGAGGGACAAGGAAATTGCTCTCTATGTAATGAGGAGGGTAGAGTGCAGTGAGCTGTGTCTGAGAAACAGCCATGATCAGTTTGAGAGATTGTGGGTGAAAATTAGGGACTGGACTAATAAAGGATATCTGATGTCAGGATCTGGTACAGGCCACTTGAGCTTGATATTGATGAGGCCTTCCTGCTTCAACTACAAGAAGTATTGCACTCATAGGTTCTCATCTTGATGGGGGATTTTAAACTACTGGGATGTCTTTGAAGGCAACATGACAAACTCTGTTGAGGATAACATCCTGGTCAGGTACTGGACAGATCAGCCAGGGGGTGAAGCATTACTGGACCAGGTGCTCACCAACACAGAGGAGCTTATTGAAGAGATTAATATTGGAGGTACTTTGGGCTGCATGCTCTGGTAGAGTTTGTGATCTTGAGGGAGACAACCCTAGCAGAAAGTAAAGTCAGGATCCTGAGCTCTAGGAGAACAAACCTCAGGCTGTTTAAGGAATTACTAGATGAGGTTCCCTGGGAAGCTATCCTTAGGGACAAAGGACTGGAGCAGAGCTGGCAGCTCTTGAAGGATGCCCTTCTGAGAGCACAAGAGTCTCTGTCCCTGAGTACAGCAAAACAAGCAGAGGAGGCAGGAAGCCATCAGGGCTGAGCAAGGACCTGCTGTTCAAACTGAGAGATAAGAAGGACATATGCAAGCAGCAGAAGCAGGGATGGGTGGCCTGAGAAGGATACAAGGTTGCTGTCTGGACATGCAGAAATGGTATCAGAAAAGTCAAGGCATAGATGTAATTGCACTTGATAAGGGATGTGAAAAATAATAAGGGATTCTACAGGTACACTAAACAAGCAAAGGAGAGTCTACTGCCTCTGATAAATGAGAAGGGAAAACTAGCTTCAACAAAAAAGGATGAAAGGTGAAGTACACAACAAGTTTTTTGTCTCAGTCTTTACTGGCAGTCAGGCTTTTTGTGCCTCTCACATCTCTGAACCTCTAACCCCTTAACCTCTAGATGAATGCTGTGGGAGCACACTTCAATTTTAAGAAAAGAGCAAGTCCTAGACTGCTTCACAAAATGGAATGTATGTAGGTCTATGGGGCCTGATGACTTCATCCCAGGGTCCTGAATAAATTGGCTGATGCAGTTGCCAAATCACTCTCCATCATGTTTGAAAAGTCATGGCTGTCAGGTTAAGTCTCCAGTGGCTGGAGAAAGGAAACATCACTCCTGTTTTTAAGAAAGGAGGAACTACAGGCTAGTAAGCCTTACCTCTGTATCTTGAAAGATCATGGAATGAGTCCTCCTGGAAACTTTCTTAAGGCACATATGAGACAAGATGTGATCCAAGAGAGCCAGCAAGGCTTCAGCAAGGGCCAATCATGCCTGTCCAGTCTAGTAACCTTGTACAGTGAAGTGATGGCACCAATGGACAAAGGAAGGGGAGCTGATGTCATCTACCAGGATTTGTGCAAGACTTTTGATGTGGTCCAACATCCTTATATTTAAATTGGAGAGATAAGTGATCAAAGGATGGACTACTTTGTAGATAAATAACTTGTTGAAAAGCTACAGCCAGAAGGTCTCAGTCAATTATTCTATGTCGAGGTGGAGGCCAGTCATGAGTGATGTCCCCCACGGGCTTGTCTTAGAATGGATGCTCTTTAGCATTTTTATCAATGACATAGATGATGGGTTTGGATGCCTCCTCAGCAAGTTTGTGGATGACACCAAACTGACTGATGCATTTGATATGACAGAAGGAAGGAATGCCATCTAAAGGATACTGGACAAGCTTGAGAAGTTGGCCTCCATGAACCAGATGAGGTTCAACAGAGCCAAAAGCAATGTTTTGCGCTTGCATAAGGACTATCCCAGACTAGAAGAAACTGAAAGCAAGACTTGAGAGTTCTGACAGATGAAAAGCTTGGCATGAACCAGCAGTGGTGCCTGCAGTCCAGTAGGCCAACAGTATCCTGGGCTGCATCAAAGGAAGGGTGGCCAGCACGGAAAACTGTTGCTTCCAGTATTTAAAGGAAGCTTATAAACAGGAGTGAAATCAAATTTTTAAACAAGTAGACAGTGACAAAACAAGGGAGAATGGCTTTAAACTAAAAAAGGGGAGAGTTAGATTAAACGTCAGGGAAAATTTTCACTCAGAGTGTGGTGAGGCAGTGAAAGCCATTTTAAGACATATGGTCCTAGGTCACTGTGACAATTCTTGTGCATCTGAAGCAGAATTTCTAGTCATTTGATGAGTGCTAAAGAGAAAAGGAATTAAATAATGTTGAAAATGTCAATATACTATTTCTGGTACTGTTCTTTAATTTCTGTAAAGAATTATAGCACATAGACCCTAGCAGTTATTTGAAATACTCTTGTATATGTAATTGAGTGCTCTGCATATAGAGCGACATTCGAAATGCCAAGTTCTGAAGTTCTGCTCCTTGTGAGTCAGCACTGAATCATTATTTTGTAGTAATACTAGCCAGGATTACAAGCAAAATGTGTTGTACTCAGAATACATTACTGCACAACGTGTTCTTATTTCTGAACGTCTTATTCAGGTTCACATATGTCTATCTGTAGGCTTAGAAGAAACTACTAAAGCACTGATGACTTTTGAAAGATTGGATTGTGCAAGCAATGGAGAAAAGCAGTGGATGTCAAGAACTGGCTAAGGATCAGTTAGTCTGAAAATCAGTGTGGACCAGCTGAGGATAAAGGCAGATGTTATACATAAGCATCATGAACATTCCACTTTGAAGTGCAGCATGAAATACTGTCCAGATCAGACAAAGGACTGGAAGAACTGATTTTAGAACTCTCAGGATGCTGCTAGAAAAGCATAAAGCAATGACCTCAAATCAGACAATAGCTAGCAAATGAGTGGTTCTTTGTCACTCTTCATAGAATTGCTTTTGTGTTACCTAGGAATATTTGTAAAAGGAATCATCTACAACTAGAAACACAAATAAGATAGTATACTTGAGCACATTACACAGAGTAAAACACTTTGCATGAGACAAATATCTGGGAAGCAGACATTCTACAGGTGAGCTTAATACTGAATCAACTTCTCCCCCACCCCCAACATGCCAATGTAGCATACGGTATTTAGTCTCAGGGAATGTAATTGCTGGAACTAAACACAAGAACTCAAACAAAATGGCATGTGCCCTAGGCTTCCAACTGCCGACCAAGAAGTTAGGTCTCCCCTCAGTCTTACCTCAATTTACCAACACAATATGGATGTTTCTGATTAAGACACCTTAACTTGACACTACGGATGTCTTTAAATTCCTATATGTAGGTCTCTTAGCAAATTCTGAGTGGTAATAGGCAGTACTCTCTCCAAACTAGTTTCCAGCAGTATTCTTTTACTGTGCCCACTCCCTTCACTGAGTCACCCTCAATTTTCCAGAAAAAAAACAACTGTAGCCTGTGACTTTGGGAAAGCATTATCACACTGCACTGACACAGCTAGTGCTGTACAGCAGAGGTTTTTTTTTGTTTTTTGTTTTTTTAAATGGAGTATTCAGATACATGTGAGTGCATAAATAGAGAAGTGAAAGCCCTTAAAACATGTATCATTTTCATTGGTGTGTGTGTCTGTTTGTGTATTATTGTTTTTTTAAATTCAAAATTTTCAGTGAATTATTGCCCCTGTAAGTTTCTTTTTTTACAAATGGGTGAACAGTTCCATAAAAGTGAATGCATCAATCATAATGAGAACCTTGAGTAAGACCTGGGAGCACATAATACCACTCTAATGGGTCACTTCAAGATTAGCTGTATAGATGGTTGTTAATTCCTGTTAATCTACTAATTACTGTAACCTTAAGGTTGACGGCAAAAAAACCCTTGACTTCCATGGAAACCATTACGGAAATATCCAAGCAGTTTGCGGGTTCTTTAATCTACACAGTTCCGGGTTGTTCTTTGCCTGTTCTTTATGAATAGAAAATTAAATTCTTGCCAAATTAATTTCACCGGCACCAGACCTTCAGCCACCTGGAATATATCGCTATATTTTGTACGCTAACTGGAGATGG